GAAGGGGAATTAAAACCACCAGAAGATTCAAAATTTATTGCTGAATACTGTTGATTTTGTATTGGGCTTTGATACTGTTGGGGCTGTAATGCCGAGGGATTTAATTGTGGAGGTAGAGCTTGTATGACTCCATTGTGTGAAGATGTTTGGGTCGCCTGAACAACGCGTCGTTGTTCCATTGAAGCCGAGGTGTTATTTAGTTCATTGAGTTGTGAATGACTATTATTCCATGTAGATGATATACTTAATGATGAGAAGAAATCATCGAGGTTGTTATTCGGTTCTGAATTTGTGTTGGTTCTACCCAAATTATCAGATATTTGATTGGTATTAAAAGGGTTGGAATTCGGTTTGGGCAATGTTGGTATGTTAAAGGGAACGTGATCATTCGACGAATTATTCACATTGTAATCAAGGGTGGACTATATGACAGAATAATTATGTAAGTAAACCCTAATTTGATTACCCATTAGAAATTAATCCTACTACCTTGAGATTTATATGAAACGAGTGATCGGAAATGTCGCTAATTGAAGATTGTCGTCTTTCGCTGGGTGATAATGAGCGAACATCTGCCAAGCTAGAATGACGACTTAGTGAGCTATTTGACGAATTATCGCTGAAATTGTTTGACTTATGACTAAGCGCAGGAGGATTGATTATAAAGGTTCCTTTATTCTATTTTCATGTGGAAACAGTCATAAATAAACATTATTTTATTTCAAAGAAAAAAAGCATCAAATGAAAATAAAATAACCGTTGTTACTGCTGTGTTATCGTTGCTGGGAGACTTCCAGGGTTGATTGTTTAATTGTGATATATCTAACCATTTCTTTAGCATATATTTTGCGCGCATAAAATTTCTAATAGAGTCCACATCATCCGGATCCGGTTCAGGAAAGTCCGTAAATTTATATTTTGCCAGCCAGATTTGTGCACCTTTCTGCAATTATGTATATGTAACTTAATTAAAGAATATATTATTATCATATTACCGGAAGAAAATTATAATTCTTACAGCGTTACCCCCATTTTTCAATGATTCAACTTCTGCTGGGGTAAATATCGAGGCTGTTATTGATTTGACACGGTGATTGAACTCACGACTAAAATGTGATGTTTCATAATTAGATTCTTCATTAGCGGTAGCTTTGAAATCATTAATGAACTCACTGTAATCCAGAACATTTTGCACAAATGAACGTATTATTGAACAAGTTAACGTATGTAGGTCCCTGAAAAAAGCCAGGAAGAAAGAAAAAGGAGGTTAAATCTATATCTATTACTACACGTAGATGTATGTCTTCGAAGAATGTATTTCTCTGAATACCTCCCCTCCTTTTTTCAAAATGCGTTAAAATTTTAAAAGTTTAATTACAAACCTTTGCTGGACAATCGAAACATTTTTTGTTCTCTGGCTGTTTTAGTAATTCTCGGATAATCCTATAGATTGTAAAATCAGTTTGAATTAAGAAATTCCGAAGAATTTATAAAGCATATAAGCCACTCTTACCTTGAATGCTTTTCTTCCTGTTTCTTACTCGACATACGTATTTCCACTGAGGTTGCAAAAAAAACGAGCTTTTTTTTTTATAATTGTTTGATAGGTGACCTTATCAGTTTCATTGGCTATCGCTCGAACCATGGAATCAGGTATGGCTTAGTTAATTGAACAGTTAAAAACATTTCTGTGTTCGATATGCTCGGCTAAAATTAGACTTCCTATTAATGTCGTGTTTTACTATTAATACATATTGAGATTATCGTATTTTTTTTTTTTTGTATACTGTACTAATTAAAATTCAAATATAAAACAAGTCTTTGTAAAACAATTTCACAAACTTATTTTCTTATTCTACTATGTTAAATTCTATAAAGCTAACTGATAAAAATTTGTTTCGTATGGTTTATTTTTTTAAAATCTTCAAAATTATAAAGAAATTAAAAGTCAATATGTCAAATCTATTTTTTTTTTTCAATTTAGTTAGATTATTCTTTGACAATATTATAATTAAATTTATATTTGATCAGTATATTCAAGTGGAATTGCTTTTAAAAGAACAATTCTTAAAGAAATATATAATTCAAGAAGTGATTTATTTTAATAAAGAAATAATTAAGAATAGATTTATTTATTTTTTTATTTTTATTTTTATTTTTTTAATTCATAATGATGTTATTATAACTTGTCATTATTAAGAAATCTACAATAGTTTATAAAATTTCTCAACATGACTAACTTGTCTTCATATATAGTACTCTAAGTCAGATTTTGAAGACAATATTATACTTTTCTTATAGATTAGTTATAACTTCTATTTATCAGGATTATTATTAACAGTTTATTACTATTAATTGATCTAAAAATTAATGAATTATCAAGTTAAAAAATGAAAAAAATGAAAAAATAATTAGGAAAAGAAAACAATTCAAGGCTTATCAAAAAATTCCAAAAATAAAAACAGTATCTTCTCAAAAAAAATCTGCCTGATTGAAATAATCTTTTTATTTTACTTGAAACTCAAAAGAAATCTTCCTTTTTATTACTTACAATATCAAAAAAATCAATCTAACTGATCTTTTATTTAAGTAAGCACTAAATTAAGATATCCCCAAAAAAGCATTTAAATCTTAGCTTTTTTCTATCAAGCTTTGTCACTATCTAAGAAACTTATTGTAAATAAAAAATGGGAATTTGCAATTTATATTATTTATTATTTGATTTTTTAATATTATGGAAATCTCTATTAAGGAACTTAGATTTTTAAAGACAAATTTTTCTAGATTATTCTTTTCAATCCTCAATAATGTCATTAGAACACATAAATATAATCAATAGGGGCTTGTTTATATTTTAAAAACTAATATATTTTGTGTCAATCGATTATTTTTATGAGAATTTATACTATTCAAAATTCAAAACCAAATTGAGATAAATAAAATTCTTCAAAAAACTATAAAAGTAAAAGCTTTAAAAGGATCAAGACAGTCAAAAAGTAAGAAAATAAATCTTTTTATTGTAGAAAACCTCTATAAATCTCTTGCTTCAAAGATTAAATAAGTCTTTAAATACTTTATAGTCAATTTTTTTTTCTTTGAAAACCTTTTTACCATTGGTATTAAAGGTATTATTTGACTTTTTTTAGTTACTAAAAATCAAGTTTTTGAGTAAAAAGGTTTATAAACAAGAGAAAAAAGATAAAGATAACTCTTGAAGTCATACTTCAAGTTGATTTAACAAAGTAGTGTAAAAACTTTTTATAAATATCTTTTTTATATAGAAAAAAAAAGTTTTTTTATCTTAAGAATAAATTTATCCAGAATCTTTTTAAACAATATTATATAGTATTTTATAAGAAATATAATTTATTTAAAACCTAAGTTTATTAATAGATTAAAAAAAAAATAATTTCTTTGATTTTAAAGTTAAAATATTATAAAATATTTAATTTTTTCAAAAATTATATGAAATTATTTTTACAAACTTATCTTATTTTTGAATGAATTACTATTATTTATATTTATAAAAATATATTACTTATATTACTTGAGCCTTTTAAACATTTTATATTTTTTGAACCTTTTAGGTTTTCCAGACTATTTTTTTTTTTTTTGAGTAACTATAGCCAGACTAGAATATAATTTATTAATCAATTGAAACCATAAGTATATTTTTATTTGAGCAACATAATACATACTATAGTTAAACATCAAATCTAATTTACTTGTTATAGGTAGAATAGCATCTAAGTTTGACTTTGAGGATAATATTTCACTTCATAATGAACTTTGAATAAAAATCCTCCTAGTTTACTATTTATTGTCAGCAAGTTGTCACTACTAAATATTCTATCAAGTCGCTGAAATATAGAAAAATAC